GATGCGTAACGCGGCGACCCCCATGGCCTCGCCCCCCCCCAGCAGCCTCCCCTCCCAGACGCTCCCCTGCAGCCCCCCTGACTCCGCCTCCTCCCTCACGCCCTGCTCCTCCCTGCCTCCCTCCGTCTCGCCCTCCCTCACCGACGTCTTCGGCCTCCCCACCCCCCCCATGGGCAGCGGCGGAGGCTACAGTCTCAGCTCCTCGTGTGGAGGAAGTGTAAGTTCTCGCTCCCCGTCTCCTCTCACTCTCCTTCAGTCCGTGGCAGCGTCTGGGAAACCTTTCGCCTCCAAACCCATGGAGCTGTGGAGCAAACTGGACGTGGCCGACTGGCTGGAGAGTCTGAATCTGGGGGAGCACCGCGACGCCTTCCTGGACAACGAGATCGAGGGCGCACACCTGCTGTCGCTGCAGAAAGAAGACCTCATAGACCTGGGCGTCACCAGGGTGGGACACCGCATGAACATCGAGAGGGCCCTGAAGCTGCTGCAGGACAGATAAACCCAGAGGAGAGGGGCTGAGGAGAGGGAGGGAAACGGGGCTCAAACATCCCCGACTCTCCGTCTCCATCTCCATCAGACGTTATCTCAAGAAGTGTGGTCCGAGCTGATGCTGCCTCCTGCTGTCTTTGTCCTCTCTCGTCCTCCCTCGTCTCAGTGCTCTTCTTGAACTGAGGGGGGAGAGAAGAGAAACGCTGCTATGTCACATCAAGGAAGGATTGACCAGAAAACAGAAACTCTGGAATAGTGTCTCTCAAACGCTGGACAAATACCCGTCTGGAAGTTATTTCACACACAGACTCGTGCTGACACCTGCTTTGGAATACTGGACACTTTTTCCATTCACCCGCAGTGGGTGCATGAAACCAGCTGAGCTGGTCGTTGCTCCTTTTCTATCTTTGCTAGAGTTTGTTCAGAGATAATATTTCTTCACTAGAGTCCAACCGGAGTTATATTTCTGGGTGCATCTAAGGTTGTAGAGAACAATTTGAGATAGACTCCATGTTTCTTTTTTGCTTTTCACTTGTTTGTGTCAAAATAAGAACTTTAGCTGACGTGTTTGAATAAATAGTACATTTCCATGCACACACACACACACACACACACACACACACACACACACACACACACACACACACACACACACACACACACACACACACACTTTATGCACAACGCCACACACTGACAAACGAGAATACACACTGTCTTCACACCCTAAGCATGTACACACACCATTACTGCGATGGCCTTCTTCTCCTGAGAGAGAGCAACGCGTGGAGAGAGGCGATAACCCAGCGTACAAGAAAAAGCGAGCGAAGGACACGAGGAACAACACGGACAGACAAACGCTGTACCAGAATAATTCTCACCTTGAAATGGTTTGTCTGTCTGCAAAGGGCGTCCCTGTCCCTCTTTACCTTATAGTTGTGTGTGTGTATGAGTGTGTGTGAGTGTGTGTGAGTGTGTCACTGGTTGACCCAAAATATCCTGAAGGCCAGTTTAGCTTTTTTCCACAGATCCGCTATATATAGGCCACAGTATAGAGAAACTAGAGCTGTTCTTTACTTTTTTACTTTACTTTCTTCTCCATTGTCGAATCTCCTTCCACTTCACCATTAGCAGGTCGACACTCATGTGGCCCCGCGGTAACGCTAATGTATCAAACACCTGTGTGTACGTGGTAGAATATGAGGTTTTTTAAAGAGAGCATTTAAAGAAACAGTGAGACATGTGAGATACGCTTATTCGCTTTCTTTCCACGAGTTTAATGAGAAGACTGACCCCATTGTCGCGTATGCACAAAATATGAAGCTGGAGACAATTAGCTTAGCATAAATACTAAAATCAGATTGACTGATTGCATCCACACAACGTTTTGATTGGCCCGTGCAGCTCAAAAGCACCTACCTTTCCTTCCTCTTTAATAATGCACCAATGTCTGTGTGTATAATAAATTATGCTAATAACGGCACCAATTGCTATTGCTTGCTAAAAAGCTAAATAGCAGATTTGTTTTGATTAAAACCATTTATCTACATGCAATCAAGTCAACATTAAAATATATAATTTAAATGTTACACTATTGACATCCCTATTTAGCTTTGCAAGTGCTAACTAGCACACGTTAGCATGCTAACGCACTGAACTGAGTTGTTGAACCAGGTATATCTTTAAATATTGAACCCATTTGTCAAAAGCAACATATCTTCTGATCATAATGACAGTAAAATGACATTTTTCAGACGGACAACTGAGGATTAAATGAGCTTTGTCTCTGCCTATTGCAAGAACGTCAACAAAGTTTGCCAACTCCCTAGCTAGCTATTTTTTGTAATGCTAAATCTGGCTGTTAGCTGTTAATATCTGATAGTTAGTTAAACATTATGTTAATATCACCAAATATGCCCACTTGGCTAACAGGAAGTGAACAGTAACATAGTGTACAGTAACATTGGCAAAGGTTGTTATGGTTGTTTAACATTTAGCTCAAAGCACTACTCTGACTGGTACAGCTAAGCTAAGCTAAGCTAATCGTCTCCTAGCTCCATTTTCACATAAGATTGATCTCATCAAACTCTCAACAAAAAAATGAAAAAGCGTTTTCTTCTCTCCAACTTTTTAAGGCTGTCGCTCGATAGCATTTTATTGACTTTGAATCCAGTGTTAAACCCTTTTGGAGGCATTTTTAGCTTTCAACAATTTTAAATGACACAATTTATAAGCAACCTAATTATTAATAACTCACAGGTTGACATTTTAAGAGCTAAAACTCCAGTTTTAACAGATAAATTACTTGTTTCCTATATAGATAAATGACTACCTGAACATGTTTTATGTTGTTTATTAAAAAAAGAGCGATGAGATTAAGAACAGAATTGTTAGCATTAAGCTAACTCGAGCTAAACTTCAACTAGATCCCAAACAAGCATCCTAAACTGGGAAAAGTCAAAGGGAAATACTGTCTTAGATCGAAACAGCCTTGGAAAGAGTATTTTCTTATCGTGAAGAAGGAGGTAAATGCAACACCGCGTTAACAAAGCTGTTGCAGACACTGGCGCCCCTTACATCAACACGTTTTATTCCTTGTAAGACAACTTCAAACACATGGTGTGAAATCTCCTGAAGCTTTAAGAGCAGATGGAGATTCTGCAGCTTCAGGGTTTTATGTCAAATTACGATTTCACGTAAATCCACATTTCCTCTGTGCAGAAAATAAGCAGAGAGCAACCTGACAGAGGCGGCAGATGTTCATCAGCGCGAGATTACAAAGGGATAGAAAGTGTTTTCTGATCCGTTGCAGATGAACTTCAGTCGCTGTAACTAAGCTTCTCCAAGTCCCTTATTCTTATCTGTCTCCCTGCAGTAGAGAAGGGATTTAAACTTTATTTTAAGGGTCCAATTTCAAACAAAATCAGCATTTATAAAGCTTGAAATGTGTGTGTTTGCTAGCAAATGGCTGGAGTAGAAGTACAGTATGTGTTGAAACGTGTATATAAGAGTGTTTAACAGGATAATAAAATGTCTATTTGATTATATGTATAGCTCTATTAAAAAAGTTTAGAGTAAAACAAAAAAATTCTATGAAGATTGATTTATAGTTGCCAGAGTTGACCTGGTCTCGCTTGCCCCCCCATCCTAAGAAAAGGTGCCTTAAATACGCTCACAACCCCCCCCCACTGTACCTGCACCACTGTCCAGTGTTTACTGTACCTGCACCACTGTCCAGTGTTTAGCTCCATAGAAAAAAAGGAGCTTGTGTTTTCATCTCAAAGTAGATTCTTTCAGAGCGCACCTCACGTGTGGTTCGATATGTGCTCGACAGTAACCCAACGTCTGAAAATAAATATATATATTGTTTTAGAAGTTCACCCTTATTTAGGTTTCATATCACACTTTCGAGGAGACAATGAGACATACACAAGCTCTGTGTTCTGTGAACATTAGCACGGGACAATGCTGCTATAATCCTGTTCCTGTTTGAACATGAAACTTATTTTAAGAGCAAACAGAGACGTGTCGACGGGGTAGAAAAGCACAGTATTTTTAAAGATTTGTATAGAGTTCTATGACATTTTATAGAGGTTATCTGAACAAAAACTGTTCAACACTGACGCGTGGATTGCCAAAAAAAACTATATAGATAAAAATCGTGGATATTATTATTATTATGATTATTATTATTATTAGACTTATGGGTTATGTAAGAAGCAATATTTATTCTGAATGAATCTCCTTGTGTTTTATTTTCCCATTTTAAAGTTACATATCATGATCAAGTGTCAGTGTTTTAATGAATGAAGTGATGACGTAAGTAGATACTTAAAGGGGACATATCGTGCAAATTTTTTCGTTTAGATTTGTAATCTGGGTTGCTACTAGAACATGTTTACATGCTTTAATGATCAAAAAAGACATGCTAGAAGTCTGAAAACAGCTGTATTCTCTCTCTGTTTGAAACACTACATTTTAACGCCTGTTGTTTTAAGAACAACTCCTAAAAGAAAGACATGTTTTGATTGGCTCGCAAGAAATAGGTGGCGTCCAAAGGCGTTAAATTCTGAATGTGACATCCTGTAGTTTTCTGACCCGGCAGTGGTGACCATTGATATTATACTTTATTGAAATGTTGAAGTACTTATCTGCTACTTCATACATAAACACTACTATTTCATTGGCACATATTGCACTTTTAATGCACTACTATTACACTGCAGGACTTGTGTTTATACATTACAGTAATACAACTTAAATTAAGTAAAAGTTGTCAGCATTAAGTCCGCGATGCCTGGACGTACGTGCACAAGTATTAAAAAGTTAGTTGTTCATGATACGTCCCCTTTGAGATATGTTTTGGATGATAAAGTGAATATTTATCCAGGTATCTTCGGACAAACATCTGCCTGACTTCTCTCATCTCCCCCTTGAATTTAGAAAGTGTGTTTTTTTTTTTAAAAGAGCAAAAATGTGTAAATTATTTTTAAGATATACATGCAGGCCATCTTGTTAGGAAATTATATGAAATGTATATATATACATAAATCCACCAAAAAGACTAGTGGTGGCTGAGTAGATGTAGTAGCAAACAATCTTTAAAAAGCTTCACCCCCCCACCTCGAAACACTGATCCCACCCTCATCTTCGTCCAACATCTGGGGTTTTATTCTTTCTTAATTTCCTCATGAATAGATTTTATTCTTTGATTAAGTCTTCATAGAGGCTAAGATTTCTTCAGTAATTTGTGCAGAGACTTGTGTTCATGTTTTCTATGTTGCTGTAATTTTGTGCTACTGAATCATCATAGAGTCAAACTAATTACTGATGATGAAGAAGAGAGAGTTTTCCTGTAACTGCACTCTTCCTCCCCCTCGCCCCCCCCCACTCAGATCCTCGAGACTTCTTGTATGGCAACCAAAATTCACTGTAAGAAATAAATATAATATTGCACTAGTGTTGTATCCCTCTGTCTTTCATGTCTTTCGTTTAATTCAGCTAAATATTTTTCAAACATTTTATTTTATTTTGCAAAACAATATAGTCATACTATTACGTTTTTTTTTTTACAAAATACTATATTATGATTTGGAAATGAAACCACTTTTCTTTCATTTACAATTTAATATTGTACGACTTTTTTGTACTTATGACTTCAAACTATATGATTACTTTTTTAACAACATTCTATGATTTTATACGATATACTATACTATACGACTTTTTTCTTTTTTTCAATATACCTACTGGACTATGACGTTCTTTAAACTTTTTACGACATACTATACTATAGCTTTCACACAATACTATGGCTTATTTTGAAAATAATCAAAACATACTATACGATGAATTTGTTTTACTTTATTACACATACTATGATTTATGAAGCTCAGCGCAAGTTCAACCAGGAAGACCGTCTTTTCTCATTCATTACTCATTTCAGGTGACTCGACGCAACCCTCCTCCACCCCTTTTCACCTCCTGTCCCTCTGAATCCAGGGTCAAGCTAAACCACTCCCCTTCAGACCGAACCCAACTATCCATTCACCACCACCAGTGTCTAGACCCCGGGGGGTTTCATCTGATCGGTTCTCCCTTCCCGAATGATACTTCCTGCACAACGGGGCCTAATCGCCAAAACTCCATTACATTCATTTGTGTATTCCCCTCTGTTATATCAACATCTTTCTTACCTACCTGAGAATCTGTATCCATTATTTCATTACCTGGATACAGCATTTTGTTATAATTTTAAGTCCAGTCATACAGTACATTGGGAACCGAATAACAGAAGCACAAGGAGGGGAATGAAACAACAAAGCAAACCAGTTTAACTGGCCAGGACAACAATTGACGATAATGTAATTGTGTTTTTTGTATATGTAGGGTGGGTGTGAAGGAAGAAAAGCTTGTGGGGAAAGTTTGCCATAGGGGAATGCAAGACATGTTACATGTAGAGCTGTCAGCACGACACACAAGAACGTTATATTGAAACGTTGGGTGTGGCTAAGAGGCTGAAAAGGCTGTAGTCGTAAATGAGTCTGCTGACAAGGTGATCGAAATATATGCGAGTTGGAACAAATGAAGGGTATCCATCGCGCATCATGTTATATATATTGTCGCTCTTTTCTACGTTTGAGTTTCTAGACTCTTCCACTCCTTCTACTTTTGACTCTGTTCTTGTCTGGTTGAGCTTTTGTTGATTGACGCATGTGGATGGAAATAGGACGTACGTGTATTCGTTAATTCATTTACATCAGATGTCGAGGCCGCTAGGTGATTATGGCTCTCTGCAGGGTCGTTCTGTGTGTATGGGGGCTGTGATGACTTCGCAGTGGTTACCTATGCTCGGTGAGTGTGTCTGTTTTTGTGTCCGGTGCTCTCCCGACTGTCCCGGCGTGGAAACTCGTAGGTCTTATTATTGGCCGACTAGGAGCGCTTTAATTTAGCGTAAAAACGCTCGTATCAAATTGCTATGGTTTTTTGTCAGTCGAAGCTCCATACCGACGACCTTACGGAGACTCTCGACTGCTCCTGAGAATAAGAATGGCGTGGCCCCCTTTGCTCTCTCCTCATTACTATGTAGCGAGCGCTCCTTTTGCTACCGCCGTGGTCCGGCTCCTTTGTCTACACTAAATAGTCATGAAATGAGCTATTTCTGTTAAATTTTTGCTCTAACATATTTACATTATAGTGGTATAGGATGACTATGGTTTTGATATTGATTATAATTGCTGAAAGCAATCGCTCTCCATTTTTTTTTATTTTTTTTAATTAAAAAATATTTTCTAAAAATCAATAGTATAAATTAAAAAATACTGTTAGTCTTGTACACCTTCCCCCTCCCCCGCCGCGGGGATTCGCGGGGATACCCGGCCGGCGGTGATAGTCTGATTGACCATTGTACTTTTTGACTCGTTATTATTTAAGTTTAATTTCTGTGATTTCTCTTGTAATCTATATCGCACCATCGGTCCACCATTTAGGTACACCCCCTCCTCCGCGTATTCTTGTCCCTTTTACATATTGGCGCCTTTTTTTTGGCCCTTGTGGTTACACAAATGTTTTTCATATCTGATTTAGTAGGTTTTACGTTTCTTTTTCCACAACTAGTCGTTAAAATATCAAGGTTTATCTACATGGGACTTCCAGCTTTCCTATTAGAATTCTGGAATTATTACGTTAGCTTACTTTTTTGTTTTCTATAACTAAACTATCTTTCTATTCATTTAGCCAGGTCTATAGCTGGCTTCCTGTTGTCGCTCCCATACTTTCCAACTTTTCGGTACATTGTCTTTCCATTTTTTCACTCAGGGGAATCGGTAATTCTACTGCATGAAGTTAGTCTCTCTACCAAAAACACATTTTATGTAT